CCCCCACCCCCCCAGAAGCACTCTGCAGGCTTCAGCTGGGCTGGGGGAAGGGGAAAATGTCCCCATTTTGATAAAAAATACCCTGCATTTTTGCCTTCCCTCAGTTCTGCTGAAGCCTGCAGAGTGCTCCTGGGGGCCGGGGAAAACAAAAACTTTTTTTCTTGCTTACCTCTTTGAAATCTTGGTGTGTCTTATACACTGGTGCATCTTATGGTCCGAAAAATATGGTAGATTTGTAGTGGGAAACTATAAATAGTGCTAATAGTGAATTTGTGAGTATATACTTCATTAGCAATGTTCCAAAAATTTAGGAGATACTTAGAAAAAGAATCTAATTTTCCTAATTCTGTATGTTAATAATTTTCAAAATAATGATTAAATTGAATTGTATGTTTTGTCTGTTTTAGGGGCTTTTTCAGAATCTCTTTATTCTTCATTGATGAAAGAATTATTATAGGGGTAACTGAATTGTATTATGCACTAAAAGTACTGTAATGTGTCTGATAATTCCCAGAACAATGTTCTTAATGTTGTAATTGAATTAAAAGGCAGTTATATATTAGTACAAATTTTATATCTCTGATATACTTGAACAAGAATAATTCAAAAAACATTCTAGACTGATACAAACAATCCCTTTATATTTATATAGTTTAGAGTTGAAGACTAATGTAGTATAAGTGAAAAGATTTTAACACTCCATTCTCTATTCCTTTAAGGTTAAATAATGTGTATATTATAGGCTGTGTTATGCCAATAACTTTGGAATAACGAATATAACTATCCAATAGACTGCTGCTATTTATAATTACACTACAATCTCATATTAAGAATGTAACTATTGGGACGCTTTTATAATTGTGACATGGAAAATTATTTCTAAATTACTCAGCATGATTAACAATGTAGTGATGCTAATAAAGATGCTCTACATTTAGGGAACACCAAAATTTAGGGGAGAAAGCTTTTGTAGGTATAATTTTGTTATGGGGTCCCGTCCCCACCAATAGTGATAATACAAATTTCAAGGTTGAAAGAATGAAGTTATTTTGAGTAAATACTGTCACATGGAAAGTCTTTTGCCAGATAAGAACATTGACTTAAATGAAATATTTACAATTTGAAACATAAATGTGTTCTTTTTACTAAAGAAGAGCACCACCTGCTGGAAATCAGAGTGCTAGGGAAAATCTTATTTTTGCAAAGTTAATGTTAATGTTTAGGTATACTCTAGAAAATAAAATACAAATCTAAGATCTCACTATAGGGAGATTTTTAAAAATCTGGTGAATATAAAATTCAATGTCTAGTATTATGTGAAATAAGAAATAATCTATTTTTGAACATGAGTCTTTCATCTTATCTTTTAGGGCAGTGATCCCCAACCTTTCTGGCTTCATGGAACAGCAGCAGTATGGAACTGCTCGCGCGCGCACACACACACACACACACACACACACACNACCCAATTTAGCAATTTACATTTGGGGACATTTGTGCAAAATATTTCATAGTTTGAGATTTGTCATTTGGCTATGTTGTCTTTAAAACAGTGAATATATAGTAAACTTGTTTTCTCATTAACCCACTACTGAGGAGCAAAATTATGGCATATTCAAACTGCTCTTGAAATGTTGCTCATTTTCCTGTATCCTTTCATTTGGAATTCTACAAGTGTTACTTTCCAGCATTACTTAACAATTTTGTCTATAGTTTTTGCATCCATTCTTTGTAATTTTCCCTTTGGAAAAATGTTATTACTATTCCTCCATACAGTTTTTATGGCCAAAACAAGTTACATAATGGTTATATTTAAAATTTTTGCTAGCTAAATCATATACATAAACTATGTTTTTAAAAAACTTTTTTTTAAACATTCTCAAAAATGTGTTGTTTCATTTTCATAACTTCTTTCCTTGGTACTAACATTTAAACAATTCATTCCAATATTACTTTTTTCTATATCATTTTTATATTTATATTTTATATACCTTTATATGATAACTTTGTATTATTTTATCATTAACACTCCCATACTTGCTTTTATATTTACAGTATAATTATAATTTTATATTATACATTACATTGTTTGCCATGTGTATACTTGAATAGACTTATGTTTAAGAAGAAACAGGCATTTTCTAAGCAGATATTTTTAAATAGCATTTATGGCTATTTGCAGCTCCCCATGGTCATGTGAATATGATTTACACCACTTTTACTAAAAACTGGTGGTTATTTCCAGTTTCTGACAAAAATGACTCCATATAGAACAATAGAATCACTTAATGACAGCAGCATTTGCTTTATGGCCACAGCTTTTGCTTAACAACCTTTGCAAAGAAGGTAAAATCAGGTGCGGTTACATGGTGGCCCACTTTACAACAGGATGGATTTGATTTAGTTCAAGTCGATTTAAGTCACGATTTAAAAGTAAAAAGGCTTGATTTAAATCAACTTGAATTAAATCAGGGGTGTCAAACTCGGGGGCCAGATCCAGCCCACAGGGTGCTTAGACCTAGCCCTTGGGGCCACCTTGGAAATAGTGAAAGGCTGGACCACGGTGCTCTTGCCAACAGAAACAGGCCCCCAAGCTCCATTTTCGCTGCAGAGGGTTGCAGAAGGCCGTCACAGCCAAAAACAGAGCTCAGGAGCCTGTTTTTCCTTGCAGAGCACTCAGGCCACCACAGGCCCCCTCAACACAAGTGATATTGAGCTGGCCATGCCCCCCCCCCCCCGGCCACTCCCACACCGGCCCTGAGGTCAAACACTGTGTCTCTGCAATTTCAATGAAATAGAGATTATGTCAGCTTTTTTTCATTCACTCACTGAAAGGGACCGTTTGAGTGGAGTTATCTAAACTTTTGCATTCAAATGTGCAACTGTAATTTGAGTAGGAATAAAATTTAATTATCTGCCGCGTTTTCAGAATCTTTCCATTTGAGGTTGTTCTTTATTCTGCCATGTTCAATGTGTCCAGTCACCTACAAAGCAGATAACTGATTTGCACCTTATATATGCACATGCACTTGCATTTAATTAAAGGACACTGGCTCCTCTGTAGAAAAGAATGTCTATAGTAGGTCTTAGAAGTATAACACTTTGTAACATTGTTTCGGTCCCTAGAATTTCATTTTATTTTCCCTTTCTCTCTTCAGATTTCAAATCAAAACTATTCCTTAATTTGAGACAGATCTAATTGCGATGTTACATTTTGTTTTGCTAGCAAGTTTCCAAATATTTTGCGATCTGGCAGTTCTTCATGTTTTCTATGTTACGCATTTTTTGAGAACCTGAGATGTAAGAATATATTCCAACTTGTTTAGAATAGCAGAATGAGTAGTGTTCGAAGCATTTGAAAGGGGGTTTCACAAAATGCACTGAAACAAGCTAAATACCCATCTTTAAAGCATTAAAGTTCTTTGAAAGATTTTGCCCATATATATGTGTGCACATACACAAGCACTTTTGGTAGCCATCCCAAAGAAGTATGTTTGATAGGGGGAAAATAAATCTCTTCCTTGATAGATGTTATTCAGTCTGTGGATTATTAGATACTTAATTGGTCATTAAAATTCCTATGGTGGTTAACACAGAAATTGTTATTCCAAAGGAATTTAGAAGTAATCTTGTTGCAGAAAATGACAGGCTTTAGACATCTCAGGATACAGTTTATAGTTTTTTATAGTTTATTAGAATTTGTAGGCCGCCCTTTTCCCTGAGGGGACTCAGGGCGGCTCA